ATTTTTTTCTACACATTCTTCTCTAAAAAAAATCAATAAACCTTTCTTTATTTAATAAATCTTGTGGTCGTTAATATAATATTCCCAAATATATGACCCTAGTGTAACAGACGTTACCTACTCACTCGGGTTCGCCTGCGCTTTCGCTTGCAGGTTCCATGGATTTTAAATGTAGTATGAAAAAGTAGCGAGGAAGCAGAGATTGGTGACAAAAACAACTTAGGCAGATATAGAACTTACATGTTTATTGTACATCTGCATCCAAACTTAACAACGCACGTGGCGGCATTTCTGAATTTCCACCACAATTCAGTGAAATAAAAAGTAACATGACCTTGTCTATTGTTCGTACGCAATCCACATTCTAGTGAGATACATTGTAAAAATTCTAAAGCTCTCCGCGAGATAACTCCAACACGTGGTGGAGAACATACGGCTATCACTTCCGCTCAATAGCTTTCCTGTTAACCCTTCTATTTTTGCAACATTCCTTCACGTGAGCTAGAGGAGCCTACCGCTCATAGAAACCATCACTGAATGTCCAAAACAGATAAGGCGGAGAATGTTTAGCCACTACCTACGTGCTATCAACACACATCTCTCCTTTAAACGGTATGAAAACCGGCATGTCTCCCGAAAAATACGTCAAAGTTTACCTCGCAATTTCTCTACTAAATTAACGCTATAGTGCAAAAAAAACTACTCAAAACCTAACAATCGATGTTCAACTAAAGTTCCCAACCCCGAATTTTGGAAGGATGGGCGACAGAAAATAATTAAATCATTGGACTTCTCAGCTAGACTAAACGCGTCTTACCTGTCTGATATCGGGAGCCAAAACTTCTGTATCGGTATAATTTTAGGGATGCCCGGTCGGGTAATTAGAAGGAACGCAACGCCCCAAAATCTAGGTGCGTTACACTAGGCAAGGTTAATCCCAGCCTTAATTACCCTAATGGTCCATGTAAACCGACATTTTTGTGTTTTTTTCTTCAGACTATTATGATAGTTGAAATAATTTTCAGGTAATGCAGTTTATAATGAGTTTTGTCTATTGGCTAATAAGGTGAGACAAATGTTTTTGTTCACAAAAACAAATTTTAGTTCTATCTCATTTGATCTGTCGGGCACCTTGCTTATGCAAGTATTACACCCATACTTTTTTTTAGCTCACCTGGTCTACAAAACCAGTGTTGCCCCCTGGGGGACAGAGGGGTGATGTCTAAGAGGGGATATTTAGGTAAATCTTTAACCGTCTTCTCACTCTGTACGAATGGAGGGATATTAACCAAATTTGGTGTAGCTCAGCATCCTTTGGTAAACGGGACTCAATTTTGTATTATAAACAGATGTTGTGGTCCCCCAGGGGGCAAAGGGGCGGGGCCCAAGAAGGGAAATAATGTGAATAAGAATGTAGGGATTTTAATCAAATTCAGATTCAACAAATCTTTGAGCAACAAGGACTCAATTTCATGTAACTGGACAGTATGAATCCCCATGAGGGCAGAGGGGCATTACCCAATAAGGTACATAGAGTTAAAACTTTAAGTCCTTTTTGTTCCATACAGAAGAAACCAAATTTGATAATTTGATAAAGAGTATCCTTGGCCCAATTGGATTCAATGTTGTATAAACTAGCCCCCACTCCAATTGGGACAGGGATGGGACCCAATAACCTAATGGTATAGCAGAGAGACAGAACCAATATTGAGATCTCTCCCTTCTTAAGCTTAGTAAACTGTGTATAAATTAGTGTTTACGCAGTGAAAATAGGCTCTGCAGACTGATACTTGTTTCAAATAAGGTGCCATTCAAGCTTCAGCAAGATAACAGTCCAATGACGACCATTGCTTGGTTCATTCACCATTTAAGGATCCCCGTCCCTCCGCCTAAAAATGTAATGAGGCATTGGTTTTTTATTCTACGGCATCGCTATTGCATAACCAAATCATTTCTGAACAAAAACCCATAACTTGCGATAGTTTCTTCAGTTTTTTTGGGATATTATGAAATTTCAATTTTTTTTTCGATTTTTTTCTTTCCCAATGGAACAAAATGAAACAAAACACATTTTATTTGATGCAACAATAGTTTATTAGAAATATAACACATAAAAAATAATAACAATGTCAATATTGATGAACAAAACACACAAAAACTGGGTTATTTTTTAACAATAATACTAAAACAAACAAAAATGGCCGTTACAACATGAATCAATAAAATTCCGAGTGCCAATGCAACACCTTAAGGACAACGAAAAGAAGATATAGGTGACAAAAAATAAATATCTTTATAAAGGTACAAAAAAAAAAAAAAAGACAGACAACTCTTACATTTGTACCAATAACAATTCTTAATCCCATAATCCATAATCAGAGACAGGTGACTCTAACTCTGAAAAACAACAGTGGAATTCTTTAGTGATTTGCTCTGGCTGGGACGGGGATCCTTAAATACATGGAACATTTTCGTGATCCATTGTGTCTTATTATTCAACCAAGGGATGCTGGCAAACTTTGTATTTGTTTGATATTACTTACACATTCAAATTTCTTTGACAGTAACATTAATCATAGCAACCAGATTTGAATGTTTTTTATGCCAATTTTTTTTACGCAAATATAAAGATTATAACCTTCATTTTAGTATGAACACAATTCGCAACAAACATATTCCTGATGGAGCGTTGCCAACTAAATAAATAATAATAATTTGAGGTTCTTATATATATATACTGCTTTATCACAACCTTAAGTTTGTAGGTTGTCTCAAAGCGGTTCACAAATTATTATCTGTGGTTATAGGACTTTTGCAACTGGCCAATATCTTTCTCAGCTCCCTGGGGAGCATACAGCCGGTGCTGCCATTTCGGCTCTCACAGCTAGCATTCAACAATTCTAGCACTGCCCAAACACGTACTCATTTACAGCTGAGTAGACAGGAACAAGCAGAGTAAAGAATCTTGCTCATGGAGACAACACAGTGCCGTGCTGTGACTCTAACCCGCAACCCTTCGGTCACGAGCCCGGCGTCCTACCACTAGACCACCATGCCTCCAACTGCGTTCATACTAATGTATACACTGTCAAAATGAGGTCAATCCTTGTATATACTTGCAGTATAATATTTGCCTTGTTTTACCAGTGATATAAGCCCAGGCAGGGGACCTGTGCATGAAAACATGTCAAAGGTAGGGGACAGGCTTATCACCGGATATGAGATTGTGTTTTAACAGTCAAAGGCCAAGACTGGACATTGTTGTCCACCATTTTGTTTCTGAATATCACAGTTTACCAAATCAGAACTGGTAGTAGATTGTTTTATAGATATATACGGTACGTAAATGTTAAGTTTCATAAAGCAAATGATACAGAAATTAATGAAATTAAGAAATATATGGGAACATTTCGTTGAAGATGGATGACCAATTATAGTTTTGAAGTAAACCACATGTAAAACTGGAGAAAAAAAATTTGGAATGAACTAATAAGAAACAAAGTAAATTCATGTTCAATTCTTTATTATTGCACATATAGCATAACAACTAACAACATTGATAGTGATCAGGTTTACCATATCAATTGAGAAAGAAGCACAAATATCTAGGGCTGTAACGATACACCTATGCCACGTTACGATGTGTTCCCTGACTTGTAACTTAAATCTATGAAACATATGCGGCAAGTGGAGAGTAATTTTTCATCGGGGACATTTAGATCGAAGGAATCCAAAATGCTGCGAGCGAAAGGAAGCGGGAGGTTTTTTTTTAACCCTTTATGCTGCTACATTGATTTCTATGTATAGGGGCACCACTGCTGAATTAATTATTGAAATATAAATTAATTTACTTTATTTTTCAATTGTTCGTTATTGTCTCTAGTTTACATTAATGTTTTTAATTCTAAAGTTGCTTCAGTATTTACCTGTACAGGTGGTAAGAAAGGTAAGAAAGGGTGAAACTTTTAATTAATCGGATTTAAGCAACAGAAAGATCATTTTAAAATTATTTTTGTCAGCAAATGTGATTTGCAAATGATATCAGAGATTATAAACTTCATTTATGGCATAAGACGCTGAACATTTACACGGAGATTATCAGGTAAAAAGATCAGGTATTTCATCAAGAATTGCATGTGATTTGCTACAGGTTTCAAGTCGTCATTCGATATATTTACTGTCACAGTCGGCATATAGTATAGATATATATTGGCTACGGTCTAGTTTATGATTAAATCATCGATATATAGTTTGAAGAAATCAATCGGCTCAAAACGTATCAATGTTAATGTTCAATTCGGCCTCACCTGCAGACGACATGTGCGCCTCGGTTCGCCGATATTTACCTGTTTGCGTAGGGCATAAAGCCGTTCATTGGAAAGTAACATATTATGTTACACCGAAGTATTTCCACATCAACCATGTCAAACCCTTCAAAACCTTTATTATCATCGTAGGTGACGCTGGAGAATAAATGTTTACGTTACACATATGTATGGTAAAATTCCGGAAGTCAGGTAATACTAAAAACCGAACAGAAACACGGGAAAAAACAACGTAAACCGAACCGAAGCAATTTAGCGCGGTTTTCGGTGCACCGCGGTGTATCGTTACAGCCCTACAAATATCAAAAGTTCAGTCCTTTGAGTACCTTGTTTCTAACTAAAAATAATGTAAGCAAAGCCTGTGAAATGGAATTATCAATATCGGTGCACGTGGTAAGCTAAATGGTAAAGTTGGGCTGCTTCACATACTTTTTGTAAATCTCTGAGCACTCATCATGCCCATGTAATCCAAAATTTCTTCAGTTTTAATTGTCAATCAAATCAATGGGGACCTCATCTCCAGGACACAGTGTCTCAGGACAGTAGTGAAATGACCCATTCCTTGTTGCTGTGATCAGCAGCCAATCTAATACACAACATCTGGGTATTCTAAACTGACATGGAACACTAAATATTTTCAGGAATTCAGAGTATTGATTTCTTGGCATATTACAGGCCTCCTGGTATGTACATGACCTCTTGTTCAGCTTGTGTGGGGAAATCAACAGAGTAGGAGCACACACTATACACAGGTGAGTTTACATGCTAAATTGCCTGTGAGATCTAGAGCAACCTATTTTGTTCAGAGTTTATTTTCTCTGAGCAATTCTTGATGAAATTATTGTTTGTCTATTTTGATATTGGTGTGGTGAAATAAATGATGAACTTGATTTAAGGGCAACAGAAGAGACTATGTCATAACTTCATCACTATGAGCGAGAGATTCTAGAAGGATCTTAGCACCAACAATGAATGAATCTTTACCAGATCTAGATAAGATGATCTTTTTCCTTCTTTGCTGCTCATTTTCCTTACAGGTACTAATACCCAGTCCCATGTTGAAAATTGTAATGCTTATATAAGTAGAAGTGCTATCAATGACGGATGAATTCGCATAAGGGCTAGGGGTATTTTTAACAAGGGGAATAAGGGGAGCATACATACATATAACATAGTAATTTGAACTGCCAAATTCAAATTCAAAATGACTGTCTGGTGGCCATCTTGCTTTTTCTTATCAATCCCAAAAGTCAATATTGATAAGTAAGGACCATTGGAAACAATATTTTACTCTGGCCACCTCTTGAACATCTTGGATTTCAGATCAAGCTCAAAATTCAATATGCGTATCTCGGGACAATAAGAAACTTTCAAATGAAATTTGAGAAATATTCTTCAAGTACTTTCTGATAAATAGCACAAACAAACTTTAACTCTCAAAATTCAAAAAAGCTGCTGCTCTAGATATGCCATCTTAGTTTTCAGATCAGTCTTAACATTTGATATGCATAACTAAGGACCTTTATATGAAATTTGAGATATGGTGCTTACCAGGTACATACTTTCACTCTCAAAATTCAAGATGGCTGCCTGTCGGCCATTTCAGTTTTCCAATCAGTCCCTAAATTTGATATGCATAATAAGGGTGGTCGGGTTGTGCTGTGGATAGCACACTTGCCTTTCGGCGATTCCCCGATCAGACACGAAAATGTATATACGTTGAAATAACTTGTTTCATAATTGTTATAAAATAGATACAGTTTCTATTTTAAGAATATTCTTTTGATGAAAGTTTCATTAATGTACATGTACAAATTATTGATATGAAAGTAATGCATAGAAATTTTACTGATAAACAAAAGATATAGATATGTATTATCAAACCTTGATTAAAAACTTCATTTATGATATCTTCCTAATGCTGTTTATAAATGGAATGTATTTCTGAGATGATGCTGATCAAAACATTTTAATACAGAAAAGTTGTGGAGGAGCTGGTAGTGAATGTATCAAACGGCATCCTCACTTGTCACGAGGAAATTCTCAACGCCTGTAGGAAGAAAAAGACGGGGAGTTATTTTTCTTTATCCCAGCAGACTGCTTTACAATTATTGTATGATGTCAAGTTTGTGGTCCGAATCATTCCAAGGAAAGATGACCAGCAGGTATTATCACTAAACAAAATTTACAAAATCAATCTCAATCCTTACCGTTTTACAGGTAAGTTTTATGTTAAAGAGAATTCCATATTGTAGAAATGGAGGATGTCTACTTGGCTCAAAAAGGGTTAACTCTTTTCTTACCGCAACTCCGGTCCGGATTCCGTACCAGATGTACTTATTAGACTCGCCCCCTGTGACGCATATAACAAAATGGCTGATTATTTATGTACTTTTTAGACTAGGTGTAACGTTAACTGCCGCAAGAATTAAAAAGGTAACCGTGAACAAATATTGTTATTGTTTTTATGTTCTGGTTCATAGACAAACACTTCTTCATTTTGGCAGCATAATGACTAACTGGCAGCTGATAATGACTGATAAATCAACATTTGTCTGGCAATAAACGATACGATTCCTTGTATTTAACACAGCGTTGTAATGCAGGTTTCCAATGGGGATTGATTATGGTTACGAATGTGGAGTCCTTGAGTTTTTTCTAAATAGAAGTAGATTTCATCAAGACTTATATTAGAATATTCACATTTACTTCCATAAGTCTCAACAAATATCTGATGATGAATTTACGAGTGTTCGTATCGAATTAAGTTGCCGCCATCTTGTTAACATTTGAGGCACCAAACGCAAACATCTTGCGGCAAATGCGAGAAAATTAAGTTACATAATAAAAAAAGTGTACTCTGCACAAATAAAATTATTTCTTCCAAACCGATAGGTTCTGATTTTAGCGACAATTAGTTGTTTTTTCGCGGCAGTCTTGTGCGATAACCAACTAAACATCAGGCAGGTTACATCAAAGTCTCTTGTCGTGTTTACACGACAACGGGGCTGAGACGGACCTTTATTCTGTCGTCTGTACACGACAACGGGGACTAGGATGCATATTGTTGTCGTGTGTACACGACAACGGTACGGAAAGAGTTAAAATCCTTCAAAAACTAATCCTTAACTCTTTCTGTACCGTTGTTGTGTACACTCAACAACAATACGTGCCTCTTGGTCCCCGTTGTCATGTACACACGACAGAAATATATGCCATCTCATCCCCGTTGTCGTTTATACAAGGCAAGAGACTTCAGTGTTTCCTGTCTTCTGCTTGAACCAGTTATAGCACATAACAGTCATATAATCCAATTAATTGTCATTAAATTAGCACCCAACAGTTGGTAAGAAATATTTTTATTGGTGCAGATTGGCGCAAGATGCTGCGTTTTTTGGGCTCCAGTATTAACAATATGGCGACGACTAAATTAGATTAGAACACTCGTAAATTCATTACCAAATATTTATAGAGACTTATGGACCAAAGTAGTTTTTTAGTCATAACGGGTGATGCTGCGAAAATGAAGATGTGTATGTCTATGAACAATGGCATGAAACAATAGCAACATTTGTTCACGGTAACCTGTTTATTTCTTGCAGCATTTACACCTTGTCTAAAAAATACGCTGATAATCTGCCATTTTGTTATATGTGCAGGGTGAGTCTAGTTAGGATATCCTGTACGAATTAAGGATCAGAATTGCGGTATGGAAAGAGTGAAGCACAATTGAAGGGATTGCCGTATTCAGCACTATCAACTTGTGCCATAGACAATGACAGTTATTAAAAGACACGAAGTTGCTCAGTATATTCCTACAATTGTTGAAAGATTAACATTGAAAGTGAAATGTACTAGCTAGTATATATGTATATGTTACATAGGAAAGTAAACTGTACCAGCAGCGGTCAAGACGAGTAATAGAGAGGCTCGAGGAAAAGATTGACCCATTCGACCTTGATGTTTTCTCACCTTACATTCAGGCTCACCTGGCCAAACAAACGCAGCGGTCAACTGTAAGTGACAGTGTTTTCCTTTAACGTTCTACTTGACCTGAATAGCTCAGTGGCTTTTGACTAAATTTGGCCTAGCTTGAGCTTGAGCTTGAGCTTCAAATTGGTATAAACGGAGGGTGTAGCCCATGCCAATAGGGGAATTTGAGGTAAATCTTAATCCTTCTTCTGTATTAATGGATGGATTTGAAACTATTTTGGGATACAGCATCCTATAGCATAGGGGACTCAGTTTTGCAGTTTTGCATAATTGGAGGGTGCATCTCTACTGGGGACAGAGGGGCAGGACTCAATAGGGGAAATTTAGGGAAATCTATAAAAAAAATCCTTTTATACAAATGAAGGGATTTTAATCAGATATTGTCTAGAATATCCTAGAACAATGAGAATTCCATATTTTACAAATGGAGGATGTGGCTCCCCTGGGGGGAAAAGGGTTGGATCCTTTTAGGGAGAACATAGGGATAAATGTTAAAAAACTTTCTTCTTCAGTATGAAAGGAGAGAATGAACCAAATTTTGTATCTTTGAGCAAATTGGACTCAATTTTCCCCTCCCCCTGGGAGCAAAGGGGCAGGGCCCAACAGGGATTTTTTAGGTAAATCTTTAAAAAAAATCTCCTGCATGATTGAAGGGATTTAAACCAAATTTTGTCTAGAGTATCCTTATAGGCAAGAGGAATTCAATTTTGTATAACGGGAAGTAGTGGTTCCCCTGAGGGCAGAGCAGTAGGGCCTATTAGGGAGAACATACGGGTAAATGGTTAAAATCCTTCTTCTGCATATAATATGGAGGGATTTAAACTAAATTTGGTGTAGAGCATCCATCCTTGGGCAAAGGGGACTCAATTTAACATAAATGGAGGGTGCATCTCCTGGGGGCAGAGGGACAGGGCCTAATAGGGGAAATTAAGGGAAATCTTTAAAACCCTTCTTATTCTGTACAAGTAGAAGGATTTGAACCAAATTTGTTTTAGAACATCCTTGGACAAAGAGGGCTCAATTTTGTATAGAGGATGAGTGTTGATTTCCTGTGGACAGAGAGGGGCATGTTCTAACTCAGGGTGATATAATGAAAATGCTAAAAATCCTTCTTCCTCCTTACGAACAGAGGGACTTAAATCAAAGTTGTTCTACAGTATTCTAGGCAAAAAGAAATCAACTTTGTATAAACAGAGAGTGTGGCTACCCTAGGGGCAGGGAGCAAATTGCAGGAGCATGGGGACAAATGTTTAAAATTTTATTTCTTCTGTATTAGTTGAGGGATCTTAACCAAATTTGGTGAAGAGCAACCTTTGGTCATTTCCTTTTGTAGTATAAACAGATATTGTTCCCCCATGGGGCAAAGGCGTCGGGACCAAGAGGGTGAAAAGTAGCAAATATTTTAGCAACAAGGACTCAGTTACATGTAACTTGAGGGCATGATTCCAAGGGGGGCAGGGGGATATGGCCCGATTGGATATAGAGGTAAGTTGAGTCTAATTAATCTAGCCCCAACAGATGCTGTTGTCCCACTTACTTAAGTCACTGCTTTAGGGAACAGAAACAATGACACATTAATCCAGCTATTTCACGTTCCAACACCTTAACAGTGTGGCAATGGCTGAATTTTCTAATGTGGATAAAGGTAGCTGGATCATCTACTGGGGATAAAGGTAGCTAAAGAATATCTACTGGGGATAAAGGTAGCTAAAGAATATCTACTGGGGATAAAGTATCTGGATTATCTACTGGGGATAAAGGTAGCTAAAGAATATCTATTGGGGATAAAGATAGCTAAAGAATATCTACAGGGGATAACGGTAGCTAAAGAATATCTACTGGGGATAAATTAAGGTAGCTAAAGAATATCTACTGGGGATAAAGGTAGCTAAAGAATATCTACTGGGGATAAAGGATCTGGATCATCGACTGGGGATAAAGGTAGCTAAAGAATATCTACTGGGGATAAAGTATCTGGATCATCTACTGGGGATAAAGGTATCAGAATTAAACAAGGAGTGAACTGACCAAAGGTCAAGGTCATTGGGTCAAAGGTCAAGGTTAAATGTTGTACCTTTTCCCTGATGAACATTTTGTTATGACATTATGAAGCAATGTTGTTTAGAACTTAACACAGAGTCAACTGACCTTAGATCCAGGTTACGGGGTCCAAAGGGTCAATGTCAAGTTTTGTAATTTTCACTGATGAACATTTTGTTAGTTGGTTGGAATTAAAGAATAAGTCAACTGACTTAAGTTCAGGGTCACTAGGTTAATGGTCAAGGTCATTTGGGTCCAAAGGTCAAAGACAAAGTGGATCTCTGACTTTGACCCTGGCTCTTGATGTCGGAGGTATATAAGGTGAAATAAAACAAATCAAAGCTAACAAATGAGTATTGCACCGGTATTTACATTTCTGTTAGCCCAGCAAATATGGAGGTGGAAGGAAACAAGACTCACATCATAGTACATGTAAAATGTATATTTTGCTTCCTTACGTTTCTTTTTGGAGTCCAAATGCCATACGTCAAGCTCAGCAATATGGGAAGATTGCTTCTTGATGATTATGGAGGATGTATTGCCACAAGACGGGGCCCTTACTGACCTGTCAGTGTTCTAAGTCTACTGGGGATACAGGTAACTGTATCATCTACTGGGGATAACGGTAGCTGCATTATCTACTGGGGATAAAGGTATCTGGATTATCTACTGGGGATAAAGGTAGATGAAGAATGTCTACAGGGGATGAATGTGGCTTGATTATCTATTGGTGATAAAGGTAGCTGGATTATCTACTGGGGATATAAGTAACTGGATTATCTACTGAGAATAAAGGTAGCTGAAGAACATCTACAGGGGTTACGGTAGCTGGATTAACTACGGGGGATAAAGGTGGCTCAGTTATCTACTGGGAATAAAAGTAGCTGAAGAATATCTATTGGCGATAAAGATGGCTGGATTATTTATTTTCTGGGGATAAAGTAAGCTAGATTATCTACTGGTGATAAAGGTGGCTGGGTTATATACTGGGGATAAAGGTATCTTGATTATCTATACTGGGGGAAAAGGTAGCTGGATTATCTACTAGGGTTAAAGGTAGCTGAAGAATATCTACTAGGGATGAAGGTAGCTGAAGAGTACCAACTGGGATACAGGTAGCTGGATTATCTACTGAGGATGAAGGTGGCTGA